TAGTTTTGTAACGTTACTGAAAAAACTTGGTGACTGCTTAATGCATCTTCTTTGTTAGAGTACTGTGAAATACTGCAAAAAGAAAAAGTGGGGGGTTTTTGCTGGAAAATATTATTTTTAGTTTTTGATGGTTTGTACAGTCATTACTATGAATGGAAAAAAGACCGTAAAAAGAAAAAGAAAAAAGAATGGTCTGATCTCTTATGCAATTCTTAAGTTTTGGTTGATAAAATTACTTATTTATGCAATTCTTAAGTTTTGGTTGGTAGAAATAATTAAAGTGAGCACAAGACACTCTCTTATAAAAGAAATAGAGTAATAGTAGTAAAGGAGCTTAAAAAACTTAGGGAGAGAGTAGGTTAAGAGGCCATGTAGTCTTAGTTATGATAAGGAGCTATATAGCAATAATTACTATGCATTAGTCCTAAGGTATACTCATTTTATGATAATTTTATGGCAATCCTCTTTTTTTTTTGCTTGGGTTATCAAAATAATTCAAAAGGAAGTCTATTTTGTTTGAATATAATGATGTTTACTAGATGAAGTACTACTAAATTGTAGTTTTTGCCTAACAGGCAAAACAAAGAAAAGGTTTTTAACTGATCTCATCAATGAGTCTGCCTATCTTTTATGACTTTTTCTTTGGGGTTTGGTATACTTTTGTTGACTGCAGTGATGTGATTTTAGGAGGACAATTTTTTGCATGTTTTCTTTACTTTTAACACGTGTGCTTGATGATGGCATATCTGTACACTTTCAGGCTTGCTTTAATTTTGCATGAAATAATTACTCCTTTTAATTTTTACTCCTATTCTGATTGGATTAAGTGAACCTAATCACTTACAAAGGAAAGCAAAAAAACAAGTACCCCATAGGAAAATTGAAAAAGGTTATGGTCCCTAAAAATCTAAAATATACTTTTATTGATCTAAGTTACGAACAGTTGATAAGTTGTTAAAAGTTACTAGTACATGTTTTTTTTTAACTTAGAACCATTATGCTGGGGCGGATACACGGTATAAATTATAGTTCACGTGAACCCATAGTCCTTCGACGATATCAAATATATTATGTACATAATTTACAAACAATGACTTATTATGACTTGATGGTACAAATGATCAAAAGAGGCAAAATGATTCACTGGTTTTAGCCCCTTATTTCTTGTTTACTTAAGCACATGGGATTGAATCCCTTCAAAATTACTGCTTTAATTTCTTTTTCTTAAGCCTTTCTTTTCCTTTTTTTTTTTTTTTTTTCTATTATCTGGGTTATTTCAG